GTAATTATGTCCCCACTGGATGCAACAAATGCCTCGTTTATAATGGGTTTTAATGTTTTTGTCTCTTCTCTCCGGCCGGACAGAGCATCACAATATGGTAAGGGGCGTAACATTTCCGTCACACGTTAGAGGTATTCGGCCAATCACAACGCACTGGATAGCTGGCCAATCAGAGCACACCTTGCTTTTCAGACCGATGAGCTTTGTAAAAATTGACGCGTTTCAGAAAGGCGGGGCATAGATGAGAAACAATAATTTCATTACACCAGATACACAAAATAATGTTATTTTTAGCAACATCATATAACCCCTTTAACAGGAAGGTCAATCCGTGTATAGGTTTTGTATAATGTGAATGTTTTTTTGTTGAATGTTGATTTATTAATAAAGATTGTCCTTCTTACCCCTCTGTCTAATACAAATGGTCTTCCACCCCTTTGTCCTCTTGCTGACAATGCACCCCTACAACAACAACAGCAAACAAACAATTATTTTAAACTGCAGACTGTGCTATGGTGGGATTATGGCTCTATTTCTAAAAGTTTAATGTTATTTATAAGAAAATTTTGTTTTTTATTTCACAACCCATAACGTAATGGGTTAACAGGAGCCTATTGTCTGTAGTCTGACAAAAATTAGGTACAGAGTTTACCAGATGTCATCCAACACATCTTTTTTTCCCCATTTATTGTTCTGTTGTATTTTATATATATTAGATTTTTAATGATTTTGAAATCATCCAGTCTATTATGCTTCTCAAGGCTGCATTCATTTGATCAAAAATACAGTAAAAACAGTAATATTATTACTGCAATTATTATTTAAAATATCAGTTTTCTATTTTAATATATTTTAAAAAGTAATTTATTACTGTGATGGCAAAACTGAATTACAGCAGTTACTACAGTCTTTCACATGTCTGTCACATTCTTAAGGAATCATTCTCATATGCTGATTTGGTGCGTAAAGAAATATATAATCAGTGTTGAAAACAGTTCTGCTATTTTTGTGGAAACATTTTTTCAGGATATATTTTAAATCTGTACTGTCACTTTTGATCAAGTAAATTGCTCCTTGCTGAATAGAACTATTCATTTCTTAATACTTAATAAATAAAAAAACCCTATTAACTTTTAAATGGTAGTGTATATCTCTGCTTTTGTGTGTCTCTACACCCTCTTCAAGGTCGGAATTTTTTAGAGATTATAAGCCGCAGCTGCATCATCCTAAACTTATTTTTTTAAGAAAATAAAACTGGACATTTCAGCCTTGGCAGCATGGAAATGTTTTCTATTACTTCTCTCTTCTGCATCTGTGACTTTTAGTGTTTATATTTATGCAGATATTATGGCTTCAAATAGAATCTTCAAAGAGACTGTGCTATAAATTGGAAGACTATTTCCCATGAAAACCAGTTCTCATGAGTTCCTGTGTCCAACTTCACCACTTCTGTTGACACATATGTCATAATTTATCATATTGTTCTACTCGCTGCTAAACTGTAGAGAATATAATAATAAATAGTTTATGATGTAACAATAGGTACTTTAGACTGAGATTCCTGAATTTTACTGGTAAGGATAAGTTTGGATATAAAAAAAAAACAATATTCATCAGTTGTTCCATCTTTAGAAATTAAGCATGATACTGTATTATTATTATTATAGTATATTTTATTATTCTGGTTTTATGAATGATAATGTTAAAAGAGAGAAAAGAGTGTAGAACCTGCTCAGTCCGCCTCCTCTTCCTCTACCTCTTCCCCGTCCTCTGAATGTGCCCCTCGATGTGAATGTGGTCTGATCAAACTGTTCACCAGTCTATGATGAACAGTAGAAACATTGTTGAAAAATAAAATCTCCTTATTATGCAAAGTATTAAATAAAAAAATTAATTAAATAGTAATCTGTGCTTCAATTACTTAAACCTTATTTCAGAACCAGAACCAGAAACAATACAATGATTGATACCGTGGCAGCGGCAGCAGCTCTATTTAGTGAATCCCTTCTCGACATCATGCCCCTCCCGGATCCTCTTTGTCTCCTTAAACCTCTCACCCTGCCAGGCCCTGTGAGACAAACCTCTATGAGAAACTTACAAGTCTTTATCCACCTTTTTCTTCAACGCGGAAGTAAGCCTATGGGTGAGACTTCCGGTTCATTAGCCGCTATAGGTAAATAACGAGGAGAATAACAACGTGCAGTAAACGGTAAAACAGTTTGCACTACAAACTAGTGTGTTCATAATTAAGATAATACATTAAAATAATGTAAGACACACCAACTTTCAATATCAAGCAGCAAAACGAACTGTTTTGTTCAGCTAAAAATAGCTGGACGGAGTGGACGCAGATGAGACCGGAAGCCAGACCCATAGAATTTACAAATGGCCGCGCCCATTTTTACGACAAGAAAAAGGTGGATACAGCTCAATTGAAGCATTTTTACCTTTTAAAACAGATCAGGTCAGGCAGAAGTCATGGGCCAAACAGTCCAAATGTATCAGCTGTAAAAAATGCAGAAGATAAGAGAGACTTAAGTATCAAATGCTTGCCTTGGTACTGCTGCGCTCCTCGTCTGAGTCCCCTCTGTTGCTGTGGAACCTGGTTGAGTTTCTTCAAGACGTTGTTCCTGTTAACAGCACGTTTAGTTTTAGCTCTGTTGGCAGCTCTGTTTGCCTTCTGTTCCTTCTTATTCAGCTTTATAATGTCATCTGTGAAAACAAAAGGAACAAAGTATTATACCTCTGGTTTATTTATAAAACGGCCACTGAAAGAGCAATCATTCTTTTTAAATATTAATGATATATTAGATAATATTTGGATATGTTATTTGTTTGAGCTAAATAGGAAAAGACTTGAGTAGTAATTTGCTGCATATTAAGGCTCCTTATGTCCTAAATTTATATTTTTATATCTGATGAGTGGGTGGGTATTCTATTCAAAACCCCTCTGCCAGATATGCATGACAAATAGACAAAAAAAACATATTTTTTAAATTTGTTGACTAAACAATGAAGGTCTGTATTAATATGGCTGGCTAACAGCTGCTAGTCATAATGTGGCCACTGAAGGTTTTATTTTACTTTTACTTTAACTGTTGCTTCATTTTAGTTATTCACAGTCACATATCATTTCAGTCATTTGTTTTAATGCTAAACTCAAGGTAAATGATGTGTGTGCACGAGCACGTTGGTTGACAGCTGTTGAATGTATGTGACAGCTGACCGCTGTTGCTCTACACGTCAACACAGAAGCGAAACCGACGGTTCCTGCCAACTCATTCAAATCACAATGACTTTAAGCTGATGTCTCGCCTCGCAATTACTAACCTAATGACAAGTCGATTTTGTCCGAGCATGAAGCGTGAGGCTCCTGCATTTGCTCTGTACTCTCCATTTGAACATCATTCTCCCCCATTTCGTCTTCCAACGTCTTTACGCACGCAAAAGTTTCAAAAGCGTCGTGTGTCTCGAAAACACCAAAGAATTTACACTCGATAACTTCCAAAGGTATGTCAAAGCAGAAACGCTAATGACGAGACGAACTATGAAACTTTTTTAATTAACCCGGTTTCAAGGCTCTTTCTTGGTGTTTATTTGTGTCGATCAAGTGAGTGGTGAGTCCTAGCAGCGTGACCCAGCCCAGCAGCGCTATGAATCTGACGACCAATGTAACAAGAGCCCCAAAATAGCGCTGTCTAATCCCGGTAGGCAGGTCTTTTCAAGGTGCTTTACACACAACACAACTAGCGGCAGGAATTCAATTCTTAACTTTTTTCCCCTCATTTATTATGTTTATCATAATCACAGACAAAACATGTTTTATTCTTAAATATTTTACAGTTAATCCAAATTTCTTTCCTCACCCCAAATGTTCCGATTTAACCCTCAATCGTCATTCGGGACAAATTTGGGCAAAATCTTTTTTTTTTTTTTTTTTTTTTTTTTTTTTTTAAATAGTTTCCTTAATCTGAGCTGTTCAAGACTCGGCTACTTTTCCAAAGTTTCCCACCTGAACACACAAAAAAAGACTAGATTCAACAGTTAAGTGGTTGGAAAAAAAACTCATTAAAGGCAGGGTATGTGATTTTCCCAAAACACTTTTTTGGTGATTTCAAATATCAACATTGGCTACCAGAAATCACTTACTCTGCCTTTAATTTGTCATTCGTGCCTAAAAATGGGGCACCCATAGGAAAGGAATGGGAAATACTAAAATTCAAAGCATTTCTTTATTTGTCCAATAAAATCAGTAAATCCAACACAATGCAGATCAAACATACACATAAATGAAGGTTTGAGCCTATAAAACATTCTCAATGTGTCAAACACTCACACACACCCACAAACACACACCCACAAAAAAGCCATTGAGTACTACAGCCAAATAGTGAAATGTTTGATATTTTTATGTCATCAAATGGTACCAAAGTCACCAGATTTGTAGGTTTTGGCTGTCTGAACTTACTGCAATTATATTTTTACTGAAGTAAAAGAAATAATAAATATAACATAAAAATAAGCATATTTTACATAAAAATCCTTCTGGACAAATTTGGGCAAACTCTTTTTTTTTTTTTATAGTTACCTTAATCTGAGCGGTTCAAGACTTGGCTACCTTTCCTAAGTTTGCCAACAAAGTTGTCTGTCTGAACTTACTGAATGAATGAATGATGCATTTATACTGGAATTTTTTTTTTTTTTTACTGAAGTAAAAGAAATATTAAATATAACATAAAAAATAAGGTACTTTTAGAGGTAAAATAAAAAAAATTATAATAAAAATCACAAAAAAATGCATACATTTGTAAAAAATAGTAAAATAGTTTTTATTTTATTGAAGACAGTGATATGACATTTATTTAAAAAAAAATTGGGGGATCACAGCTGAGACCTTCGTGCCGAAATTTGTCCACGAATGACAAATTAAGGGCTGCTATACGAAGGATGCTTGAGGGTTAAACAAAACAACAGCTTTTCCTCAGTTTTGTTTTATTTTTCCATATATTCGTACAATACTCAAAACTATAAACACAATTAGAAATACTCAGTTTGTACACTAGCTCAGTATTTATTGTTAACCAACTGATACTTTTTATAATATGATGAAAGGATTTGCAGTAATTTCCAAGCGTTGACAGGTAAATACGTGCCCTGTGTCAGTATATTTTGTTTACACTGATCTATATGTTATAGATCCATATTATTATTATTATCAGATCTATAGATATCTATCTATCTATAGAAAGAGAGAGAGAGAGAGATTATATTATTTTATAGATTATTATAAAACTGGATTGCTCATGATGTCAAAAAAGTGAAGACATCGCGCGGCCATATTGGCATTCCCAAATCACACAATTTTAATGATAAAACATCACCTGAAGTTGAGTTATCTAAGTTATCTTATATCTGAATCCCAGTAAATTCTTACAGCGCAAATGTTCTAAGCATGTAAATGATTTAGTTTATTGTCGGGAATTTCCCCTGTGTATTAAAAAGTTATGTTCACATTATATTAGCGTAGATCGTTACATGTTGTGATTAACAGTACTATTTTCAGTTCTATTTATTCTGAAAAGCTTTTAATAAACAGTAGGTTATATTTTAGCAGACATATTTTTTTTCATGCATTCATAATCATAACTCAAACATAGCTTTACAAATATATATATATATATATATATATATATATATATATAATACCTAATATTTATAGCTTTCTAGTGTGTATACTTTTTAAGACGCCCAACATTTTATTTTGATGTCTATCGATGGGTTTTATGCTTCAATTAGGAAGGGCATCAACTCTCCACCATCCCGTGCCCTTGACGAGGATTATTATTATTAGTGGCGAGTATTTATATATTATTAGAACCAGTATAATACACTCATTCACATCCTTCTCTTCACTCTCTGAGGAAGAAGTCTCCAAACTCATCCTTTCTAATCATCCTACTTGTCCGCTTGATCCTATTCCATCTCATCTCCTTCAAGCCATTTCTCCTGCACCTGCACTCACTCACATCATTAACACATCCTTTCACACTGGTGTTTTTCCCTCAGCATTTAGACAGGCTCGTATAACTCCACTACTTAAGAAACCCACCCTTAACCCATCTCTTTTAGAGAACTACAGACCGGTTTCCCTTCTTCCTTTCATTGCAAAAACACTTGAACGAGCTGTGTTCAACCAAGTCTCTGCCTTTCTCACACAGAACAACCTCCTCGACAGCAACCAGTCTGGTTTCAGAAGTGGACATTCAACCGAGACTGCCTTGATCTCAGTTGTTGAAGCACTAAGACTGGCAAGAGCGGATTCCAAATCTTCAATACTTATTTGCTGGATCTGTCCGATGCTTTTGACACGGTTAACCACCAGATCCTCCTGTCAACCCTATTGGCAAAGGTCATCTCAGGAACCGCACTCCAGTGGTTTGAGTCTTACCTCTCAGATAGGTCCTTCAAGGTA